GTCTGTGTGTGTGTGTGTGTGTCTCTATGTGTCTCTGTGTCTCTATGTGTCTCTGTGTGTCTGTGTGTCTGTGTGTCTGTGTGTCTGTGTGTCTGTGTGTCTGTGTGTCTGTGTGTCTGTGTCTGTGGGTGGGTGGGTGGGCGGATGGTGGGTGGGAGATGGTGGGTGGGTGGATGGTGGGTGGGTGCTTGCGTGCGGGCGGGCGTGCACGTCTGTTTCCTCACTGTTGGAAGTTGGCACGGTGCAGTGCTCGAGCAACACAAAACGGGTTCAGGTTTTGGAGTTCGGGGCTTCGGGTGTAGGGTTTAGGGTTTAGGGTATGGGGTTCAAAATGAGGACCATGATTTGGTGAAGCGACCTCAGAAGTCCTGTTGCCGGCTTGGTGGGTGGAGTCGCGTCTCCTTTGGGGCGCCTCACTCAGGCGCCCCCTCTCTGTACAAGGTATCTAGAGCGGGATTCCCCTTACCTAAGCCCAACACCTTAAGCCCTAAACACCCTAAAGCCCTACACGCAAAAAGCCCTACACCTTACACCCTTAAACTCCAAACACCCTAAAACCTACCACTGACACCCTAACCCTTAAACCCCGAACTAAACCCTTAAACCCTTCAACCCCTCAACCCTTAAACCCCCCGAAGGGCACGCCGAATGTACAAGGCTGCCGGGCCGCCATCGTGGACGAGTCTGGAGTCCGTTGTGGCAGATCCAGGGAGCAACTGTTTGAGCCCGACTCTGCGAAAGCCAGGCCGAGTTACCTGGGCACCCTGGGCCAGAAAAGGCGAACCTCTCAACTATGTTAGAGGATGATGTACATGTAGACCTACTCAGTTCAGGGTATAGGCGTTAGGGTTCAGGGTTTGGAGCTTCTGATGGGGTTTCTAGGAGCTTGGAGTTCGGGCTTGGGGGGTTCAGGGGTTGCAGCTTTTCAGGCTTTGTAGGATTGCGGGCTGTTCATCTTTCCGGGGTGCCCCGGGAACGAACCCTAAACCCTAAACCCTAAACCCTAAACCAGGCTTAGGGCTTGGGCTAGGAATTTGGGGGAAGGCAACTTGGGCGGCTCCCGCTCTAGGGCAAAAGAGGAGCCACTGGCCTCATATACCCTCAAACCCTCGAAGAAATCTACGCAAACACTGAATCCTAAACCTCACAAAGCCCTAAACCCTCATCCCTCAACCCTAAACCCCGGGGCGTTTTTCGCTGTTTTGGGGCGGTGGCGAGCGTGCGCACAAGCGACAAACACTTGCCTGCCGGAAATTCACGGGGATTCCCCAGACATCTGAGGCCCTCCGCGGAGTCGACGCTGATAGGGTTTAGGGTTCAGGGTTGCGGGATTTAGGGTTTAGGGTTTAGGGTTTAGGGTTTAGGGTTTAGGGTTGAGGGTTTAGGGTTTCGGGTCTCGGGGTTTAGGGTTTAGGGAATAGAGTTTAGGATTTAGGGTCTAGGGTTAGGGTCTAGGTCTAGGGGTTTAGGGGTTTAGGGTTTAGGGTCTCAGGGCTTCAGTTGGGCTTGGGGGGGGGATTCATCTGGGCTTAGGCTTTTAGGGTTTTAGGGTTTCAGGGTTTTGGGAGGGTTTTGGGGTCTTAGGGTTTAGGGCTCTTCGGTTTGGAGGGGCTTGGATGGGGTTGAGAGTTCAGGGCTTGGGACTTAGGGTCTTGAGGTGTTGAGGGACCGGATGAGGAGAACAAGACAGCACAAGACACTACTGACTCGCTGAAGCAGCCTCAGCCAGTGGCAACCCAGACTTGCGAGATTTCTTGGCTTGAAACTGTCCCCCTAAACCCTAAACCCTAAGCCCTAAGCCCTAAGCCCTAAGCCCTAAGCCCTAAGCCCTCAGCCCTAAACCCTAAACCCTAAACCCTAAACCCTAAACCCTAAACCCAATCCCTAAACCCTAACACCTAGGAAAAACATGGGAACCCGCCAGTCACATGTTCGCTGCGGGGAGTTGAGGGTTCGGTCTAAAGGAGCCTAAGGCTGCTACAACAAACTGCAAGGTGCCTAGCAAGCCTTCCCAAAGCCCTGGGCCTGAAACACTAGGCCAGATGAGAAGGCCCTAAACTACACCCTACACTTTCAGGGCATATCTTACACTGACTAAACCCCACACCTCTGACACCTGAGCGAAGGCTGAGGAGCGCAGTGAAGCGGCAGTTGCGTCTCTGCGTCTTCACGAGGCGGGGGGGGTTGTTCAAAACTCTGGTCCCTTGTGGGTTGCACTCCAAGATTTCGCGTACCCCAAAAAGGACCATTGTTAAGAAATGTCCCCCCCATGCAGTCAGTTGAGCAAAACTTCGGGGGAACAGCTCGGCTCTGCCTGCTTCAGAGCGGGGGGTGTCGGGGTTTAGGGTTAAGGGTTTAGAGTTTTTGGGCTTTCCAGTGCAAGTTCCAGTGAGAGAAAGAGAGAGAAAGAGAAAGAGAAAGAGAAAGTGAGAGTGAGAGTGAGAGTGAGAGCGAAAGCGAGAGCGAGAGAGAAAGGGAGAGAGAGAGAGGGAGAGGGAGGTGGGAAGCTTGGATGTGAATGCTTCAGGGGCCTTTTGCTCCACCAACACAGACCCCCCGCAGCCCCTGAGGTAGAAGAAGGGCGCGAAGTTTTGCTGTTGGGGGTTACAGGAGAATTAGGATACGACCGGGTGCCCTACAGCCCTAAACCCTAACTCAACCCTAACCCCTAAACCCTAAACCCTACATCAACCCCAAACCCTAAACCCTAAACCCTAAACCCTAAACCCTAAACCTATAACCCTAAACCCTACAGATATGCTTGCAGATGGCACCGAGCTGCTCCAAATCTCCCTGGAAGCCCGCGAGTCCCGCCGGCGTCGTGAGACTTGCCGGGTCTCGGTGTGCTACCGGAAGTGAAACCCCTTAAAAACCAACAACAGTAATTAGGGATTGAGATTGTAGGGTTTAGGGTTCAAAGGGCTGTTAAGAGTTTTGAGGCTTTCGGGATTTTAGGGAGTGCGGCAATGCAAAGTTGGGTTTGGCAGACGTGTCTGACCCTCTGCCATGTGAGTCTGACCGCGACTGGCCCCTCGGTGCAGCGTAAGTCTAGGCCTACAGGCTGCGCGTAAACCAAAAACCCCAAGGTTCGAACTTTCAAGGCGCTTGCCAATCAGGGTTTAGGGTTTAGGGTTTAGGGGTTTAGGGTTTATAGGGTTTAGGCGTTTAGGGAATCTCAGAGCCAGGACACTGGAGGTGAGCTAGGGATGGAGGTTCATGGTTCATGGAAATCTGTCTTCGGCAAAAATGCTTCGCTGACCTGGTCCGCAAATGATGGGAATGTGGGGTTTACAGGTGTAGCCCCTAAAGCCTAAGCCCTAAACCCTAAACCCAAAACCCCTAAACCCTAAACCCTAAACCCTAAACCCTAAACCCTAAACCCTAAACCCTAAACCCTAACCCTAAACCCTAAACCCTAAAGGTTTCTTGTTCTAGGTTTGAGGTTTTGGGGCTTACGGTTTACATCGGGGGGGGCTTCGGGACACCTCCAAAAACTATCTGCTCCCTCAGAAGGCATAGGATGGCAGGCTCTGGGGGGAGCCTCGCCCCTAAACCGTCTGGAGCAACCACATATGTATATATGTATATATGTATATATGTATATATGTATATATGTATATATGTATATATGTATATATGTATATATGTATATATGTATATATGTATATATGTATATATGTATATATGTATATATGTATATATGTATATATGCTTATATGTTTTTATGTATACTTACATTTTATACAGGAGAATGAACAAAAACAAAGTTGTTGTTTCAAGGCTGTTTTTCCGGAAAGCGGAAAAGAAGAGGTACTGCTGGGCGTCCTAGGCTGGGCGTCAATACCCTTTCTCTGCCTTGCGGCGGCTGCTAATTTTTAATGCGAGGTTCTCAAGGGAGGCAACATGCAGAGCTTCAACACTTGGCCGGAATGGTTTTGGGCATCTTTGTGAAGATACGTTTACTGGAACTTACTAACTTACACTTGAGAATGATGTGTCGGACAGGGTGAACAGTCGCAGTCACGGAAAACATGACTGACGCAGTTCAGGTATGGGAAAAAATCAAAGCAATTCCTCCTTATGGCTGCGCCGGCTCAACACTGAGGCTGCCGGAGGACATGGCGAAGATGTGGGTGTAGAGCGGGAAGCTGACGTACACCAGGGCGATGAAGAAGGTGAAGACGTAGCCCATGTGGATGGCCCGGCTGTGGTACTTCTTGGGGATCTCCAAGGCTGGCGCGGGCACAACCTTCTGCCAGCCGAGGCACATGTGCGTGCTGAAGATGATCACGGCCGCCAGGTAGAAGAGCACCCAGCCCAAGGACTGGAAGATCTCGAACTCCATGCGGTAGATGTCGCGGACGTACACCGCCTCGCAGCCCGGATCGTCCACCCAGAAGAGGTTCAGCCTGAGCTGGAGCAGCGTCTTCCTTAGCCATCGGCAGTCATGGCCCATGAAACCTAGACATGCACCCTACTCGCCACAGGGCCCGAAACCACCCACCCTGATGTGCCCCTGAACTTCAGGTTTGGGGCTTCACGCTTCGGGGGGTTGCAGATTTAGGGGTTTCGGTTTTGGGGTTTGGTGTCTACCGTAGGCTGTCGGCCTAACCCTCAACCCTGAACACGGTACCTCAAACCCTCAGGGCAAGCAGGGGCAAGCGGGCGGGGGGGTCAGGCTTAATTACGACGAACCTTGTGGGAGCTGCCTCCAGGTTTAGGGTTAAGGGTTTAGGGTTTGAGGTTTAGGGTTTAGGGTTTAAGGTTCCATGCCTATCTCCCAACTCGGGTTTAGGGTTAGTAGGCATACGCCCTAAAGCTGTAGGCAATACGAGTCCCAGGTCCAGAGATTAGGGCATGTGCGCGTAGCTGTCGCCTGGTCTGCACTGACAAGACCCTTCCTGTGACTCCCCAACCCTTTGACTCCCCAAACCCTACACAAAAACAATAGGATTTCTTGCAGCTTCATCATGCTTCTGAGAACAGTAAGTAAGAATAATCATCATAACAGTTATCGTAGGGTTTAACCACCCTGAATTTTAGGGCACCCCCCCCCAACTGGTAGGTCCATGGCGACCCGACTGCTTCTAATAACAATAATGGCAATAATAATCATCATACTAATAATAAGAATAAGAATAAGAATAAGAATAAGAATAAGATTAAGAATACGAATAAGAAGAAGAAGAATAATAAGAATAATAAGAAGAAGTAGAATAATCCGAGCGTCAAGTTGAGAAGGTACGGCGGCGGGCAAAGCTTCCACGGCTGGGTGTCGCCGAATCGGAACCTTGGCCATCCGAAGCCTCTAGATTCGAAGCCTTTAGGGTTTTGGGGGGTTTAGGGTTTGGGGGGTTTGGGGGGTTTGGGGGGTTTAGGGTTTAGGGTTTAGGGTTTAGGGTTTAGGATTCAGGGTTTAGGGTTTAGGGTTCAGGGTTCAGGGTTCAGGGCCCAAGGGCCCTAAACCCGACATCCTGAACCCAGAGCCCGAAGCCCGGAAACCAAATCCTCGAACCCTTGGTTTTTTGCGGAATCGTGGGGACCCTGGTTTTGCCTAAGCCTGGGTTTAGGGGGCTAAGGGCCTGGAGCTCAGGGGTTTATCGGGCTGAGGGTGGAGGGATGCTGGGTTTTCGTTGAGGGCTTAGGGGCTCTTGTAGATGATGTATGGGGAGAGCGAACGTCCACCGTTCGGAGGCTGGCAGCACCGCAAAAAAGGAGCCCTGCAAACCCTAAACCCTAAACAATAAGCCCTAAATCCCTCAGTTTGGGATGTTCCCCCTTATACTAAACGTCCTTGGTGGGATTGTCGTACCCCCTATTATGACCCCTATCAAGGACCGTTAGTATAAGGGGCCAACATCCCCAAACCTAGACCGCAAGCCCTAAGTCCTAAACCGCTTCTTCGATCACTCCCGACGGTGCCTTACACATGCCAAGAGGCTGGTAGAGGTGGATCATCCTTGGTCGGTTTTAGGGTTTAGGGTTTAGGGTTTAGGGTTTAGGGTTTAGGGTTTAGGGTTTAGGGTTTAGGGGGGTCGGTTGTGGGCTCTTTTGCTTGCCTAGGGTTGAGGATTTACAGGGGTTAGGGGGTTAGGGGTTAGGGTAGACCCCCGCCCCCAGGAGCTTCTGAATCCATGTGTTCGGGCTTTCGGGTTTAGGGCTTAGGCATCCTAATCCCTGAAGCCTAAACCCCTAAAAGAGGGAAGAAGCCCACTTATGGATGCTCTAGAGTGCCAGTTTGGCAAGGCTTGTTTTCGCACAGGTCCATACTCTTCCAGTCGGTACCTGCGAGCAATGTGAAGCCTGAATTGGCTTACGGTGTAGGGTTTGGGGTTTAGGCTAGGGTTGAGGGTGGCACCCCTGCTTGAACACACCACTCAAAGTTCACAACCTTGGGGCTGCCAAGTAAACCCCGTTTGGCTCAATGAGGCTTGTAAGGGAGCCTTGCCCCACCCACCCACCTCCCCCCCCCCCCAAAAAAAAGAAAAAAACAGAAGGAAAAGGGAACCTGCAACCCTGAAAATCTTAACCAATGCAAAATAAACCGGCACCCTAAACTCTCCTACGCTCTGCAACCCTATAAACCCTAAACCCTTAGCAAACCGCCCCAAGCGTCATGAACGTGAGCAGCGTGACGCCAGAGAAGGCCAAGTTGAGCTTTCCGGAGGCCACCTGACATGGCGTGCCGTGGGCAGCCCTTAGCCCTCTCGGGTTCAGGGTTTAGGGTTTAGGGTTTGGGGTGTAGGGGTTTAGGGTTTAGGGTGTAGGGTTTAGGGTTTCGGGTTTAGGGTTTCGGGTTTAGGGTGTAGGGTTTAGGGTTTGGGGTTCGGGTTTCGGGTTTAGGGTTTAGGGCTTAGGGTTTAGGGTGTGGGGAGCTAGAGGTTTGGGACCCGAGAAGACCCTCCCCCAACCGAATCGCTCGCAAAGATGAACAGCAACAGCGCCCGAACCTTTAAACCCACTGAGACGCGGGGGCTTCGCAACAGGAAGTTCGAGGTTTAGGCTTAGGGCTACGGGCCTAGGGAGCAGTATCCCGGTATCCCTATTTCCTATTTCCGAACCCAGTGTTTCTCTCTTCGGGGTGACTAAACTGGAGGAGGAGAGAGAAGGGGGGGACGCTTCTCGCTGGCATGGGGCGGAGTAGTTCATGCTGATGTCCCACGTGCGCTTCAAGGCCACGAAGACGTGGAGCAGAGCCGCGAGCAGGATGTACTCCTCAGGCGATGACATGGGCGGGCCATTCTGCTGTGCCTAGGTCTGCCTACACCCTGAGAAAAAAAGCACCAAAGTGGCACCTCCCTCCTCAACTGCCACTGGCACAATACCAGTCATCTCCCTACGACCCTCAGCACAGTGCGTGCGGGTGCGAAAGGGAAGGTGGCTCTGCACATGAACCCTAAACCCCAAACCCCAAACCCCAAACCCTAAACCCTAAGCCCTAAGCCCTAAGCCCTAGGCCCTAGGCCCTCAATGCCGTACAGGGTGGGCAAACAATCACGCAAGTCAAGAACTCGACCCATCCTCCCCAGTCACCGCCAAAACCCTAGGCCATACAACCCCAAATCCGCCTCAAACTCAACCCTGAAACCTCCAAACTTCCTCAACAACTACCCTAAACCCTAAACCCTAGACCTTAAACCCTAAACCCTAAATTCCGTCCTCGACAATGTTGGCCTGGAAGCCGAAGCCCGTCCAGTAGAGGCCTCTGCTCAAGAGTTCTTGCTTTTGGGGTTGAGGGCTTAGGGTGTGGGGTTTAGGGTTTGGTGTATCGGGTTTCTGGTTTAGGGTTTGGGGGTTTAGGGATCCAGGTTTTGGGTTTAGGGTTCTGGGGTTTCAGGTTTGGGGCTTGGGGTCTCGGGTCTCGGCTTTCGGGTTTAGGCAGGGGGCCGGGTCTCGGGCTCAGGGGTTTCGGATTTGGGGAGTCGGGTTTAGGGTTTGGGTTTGGGGTGTAGGATTTGGGGTTTGGGGGTTTGGGTTTCGGGCACTCAGGGTAGTTCTTCTTGAGCTAGAACCCACAATTCCTTGTTGGCCCAGCAATTCGCGAGCTTGGCCGCTACAGGCGCCTGGGGGGGGGCGCTGCTCTTTGCCACGCCGCGGGTACAGCTTGCTCCTGTCGGAGGCAGGCGAAGCCTCCAATGCCGGCAGGCCACCGCCGCGATCCGCCCCGCGGTGGTGGCGTGGGCACTTGAGCCACTTTAGGGGTTTGGGGTCTGGGGTTTGGGGTTTGGGGGTTGGGGATTGGAGTTTGGGGATTGGGGTTTGGGGTTTGGGGTTGGGGTTCACGGTAGTTTCTGTTTGCGTTGTACGTTTTGGGGGTTTGGGGTTTTGCGGGGGGTTGAGGGGAGCGTAAGGATCTAAGAGAGGGTCGGGAGGTTACCCGAAAGCCCTCAAGTAACTAACAGCCTCGGGTTCATAGGGGCCAAGGGCTGCGGGGGTATGGCGAGCTGGAGGGTTTGCCTTAAATCTGAACTCTAAACCCTAACCCCTAAACCCTAAACCCTAAACCCTAAACCCTAAACCCTAACCCTAAACCCTACAAGGAATGGAGGTCCCAGAATGAAAATGGCCCGAGGTCGGCACGCACGTAGAAGTAGCCGTAGCCGTTGAAGTCATCCGGGCCTGGCAAAAGTCACCGCGGCTTCCGGAAGCCCTTAAAGGCTACAGGTCCAAGGGACCGAAGGAGGACCCTTATAAGGGACCTTAGCTCCCGGGTGCCTAGGAAGACGTGCAAGTTGCCCACGGCATGGATGATGATGAAGATGAAGAGGAACCTGCCGTTCGGTTGATTTAGGACTTCGTCCGCCTGGAATTTGGGATTAGGGAGCGTTTAGGGTTGAGGGTTTCGGGGCTTGTTGGGCAAAAACATACCTTAAGGCGGTCTGGTCCTGGACTCGCAGCCCGAAACCCTGCAGGGTTGGGTTCCAGCAGGGTTCAGGAAACCCGAAACCCGAAACCTTAAACCCTAAACCCTAAACCCTACACTGCTGGCCAAAAGGCATCGCTGAGCGGGTGAGGCCAACGCGGTCGCCGGTGATGGTCACGTTGCTCTGCGGCACGATGGTGAAGAGGATCTCCTTCATGAAGCCCAAGACCTGGTTTAGGGTTCATAGGGTTTAGGGTTCATAGGGTTAGGGTTTAGGGTGTAGGGTTTAGGGTTTAGGGTTCAGGGTTCAGGGTTCAGGGTTCAGGGCTTAGGGCTCAGGGTTTAGGGTTAGGGTTTAGGGCTTAGTTTAGGGTTTAGGATGGCTAAGGGTTTGCGATTTACCCGATTTAGGAATTAGGTTCTAGGGTTTGGGGTTCAGGGCTTCGGGCTTGTGGTTTAGGGCTCTGGGTGAAGGGTATGGAGATGACTAAACCCTTACTAAACCCTAAACCCTAAACCCTAAACCCTAAACCCTAAACCCTAAACCCTAAACCCTAAACCCTAAACCCTAAACCCTCCTATCGCGAGGCCTCAAGGTCCCCGGTACAAGCTGTTGAGTCGAGGAGGCCCCTGAAGGCAGCAGCTGCCCCAAACCCTAAACGAGTTTAGGGGTTTGAGGTTTAGGGTTTAGGGCTACTGGTTTAGGGTTTAGGGTTTGGGGTTTAGGGCTTCATGCGCTAGCTCAGGCTTTCCAGCTGGGTGGCCATGTAGCAAATGGCCCCGATCCAGCCCGGGATCTTGCCTTCACCTGACGCGCGCTGGTTCAGGTCAGGGTTTGTATGGGGTCTACAAAGCTCAGGTCTACCAGGCTCAGGTCTTAAAGTGTCTCGGCCACTAGGAATGACCCCCTAACCCTGCAACCCTATGCAACCTCTACGGCGAACGCACATAACAAGAAATCATTACAAGCAAGACATTTGGACCCTGACGAAGGCTCCATTGTCTTAATCCAGGGTCTGGCATACGGCAGATCTCTTATCAAGGGTGTTTCAATACAATACTTCGGAAGAACACCCCCTACACCCCTCCACCTACACTGCAGATCTGGTACTCTTTGGACCACTTTCCTCCAGGCCCGCAGGCCTCCAAACCTCCAGCCCCCCACCCCAGCCGCCCTCCGTGGTGGTTGGAGCGCTGGAGGGCTGGAGGGTTACAGGTCTAAGGAGTAAAGGGAGGGCAGAGATCACTTGTTGGGGCCAACTCAGAGACGTCACCCAGCCAGTCACTTCATACAGGCGAAGGGGGGAAACCTGAGCACATTAATTCCTAAACTGAAACTAAAGTTACTAACCCTAAACCCTCATGATGCAGGCTGTACCGCACACACCCTGAAGGGGTCACAGGGATCCTACTACGACGTCTGAGGAGGGCGCCCTTCATTCGCAACTCCCGGTTCTTCTCGGACTTCGACCAGTTCTTGGCCTGGAGGGTACTGAGCCTATAAAGGGGTTTAGGTCGGGTCTAGTCTAGGGTTTAGGGGGCTTGTTGTTTGGGGTTTGGGGTTTCGGGTATTCCCTCAGCCAAGCCCCGAGCTCTTTCTTGGTCACCCGTTAAGCCCGCCCCATCACCCGAACTCTCTCCCATCACCAGGAACCCTTATGCGAAAACTCTGCACCCAACTCCACCACCCACCCCTTACCCAAACCTCAACCCCTAAACCCTAAACCCCGAACCCTTTCAACGAACAAAGAGCCGTAATCCTATCAGCCCCACTTAAAGAGTCCCCAACAAGAAGTCCCTGCCTACTTCAACCCTGAACCTGAAGGCTTTTTGAGGGGGTCTGAGGTGCCCTAAACCCTAAACCCTAAACCCTAAACCCCAAACCCTAAACCCTAAACCCTAAATCCTAAACCCTAAACCCTAAACCCTAAACCCTAAACCCTGCACCTGGTGGCCATCCTTGGCCAAGAGGGGTGCTCCCAGGCCACCGGCCGCAGCCGGCGCTGCGGCTGGGGCGCCCGTGCCGACCTGTGGAGGGTTTAGGGTTTAGGGTTTAGGGATCAGGGATCAGGGTTTAGGGTTTAGGGTTTAGGGTTAGGGTTTAGGGTTTAGGGTTTGGGGTTTGGGGTTTGGGGTTTAGGGGGTCTAGGGTTTAGCTTGGGGTGGGTGGTTTCGGGTTTAAGGTTTGGGGGTTGAGCTTCAGGGTTTGGGGGTTAGGAGCTTTGAGTCTTGGGCCTGAGGCTTGAGGTGTAAGATTTTGTGTGTTCAGGGGGTTCCAAGGGGCTACCTGGATTTCAGTTTTCAGGAGGGAGGGGGGGGGGCCTTTGTTCAGGGTTTGGATACACAGCAAGATGCGTCAAAGCAACTGATAGAGGCCAAGACGCTGAAGGCCTGAACCGCGAATATGTCCGACCCGAAACCCTCCAAAACCCCAAACCCCAAACCCCTAACACCCCCCAAAACCCTTAAGCCCCTCAAACCCTTGAACCCCTGAAGCTCCATCAACTCCCCAAAACCCCCCAAACCGCCAAAACGCGGGAGCCCCCCCGCGCATGCCTTGCCGATGATGGAATCAGGGGCATACTTGCCGATGACATCCGGCGGGTGGATCCTTTCGACCCACAACACTAAAGCCTACGCCCTAAGCCCTAAACCCTAAACCTTATACCCCAAAAGCTGTGCCCTGAATGGCCGCGCTTGGGGTCTGGAATCTTTAGGGCCTCCGGGCCTCTGCAAGGACAGAATTTGGAACCGAATTCTGAACCCAAGGCCCTGGTTGAGGGTTTAGGGTTTAGGGTACGTTTTTGCAGAACAGCCATCTTCGTGGCTTCGTAGCCCCACGATCGTCCATATCAAAAACTAAGCCCGAAGCCCTAAAGCCTAAACCCGAAACTCCTAAACCCTAAGCCTCAAAGCCTACACTTGGGCACCCGATGATCTTGAAAGTTGAAGTTGCGGTTTAGGTTTAGGGTTTAGGGTTTAGGGTTTAGGGTTTAGGGTTTAGGGCTTGGGGTTTGGGGTTTAGGGTTTAGGGTTTGGGGCAGCTTTCCCAAAACTGCCGCCAGGCATCATGTTGAACTCCTCGGTGGCATCCTTTCCTGCGGCCCGAAGCCCTAACCTAAGCCCTCACCAGGGTTTAGGGTTTAGGGTTTGGGGTTTAGGGTTTAGGGTTTAGGGTTTTGGGTCTAGGGTTCAGGGTTTGGGGTTTAGGGTTTAGGGTGTCAGGTTCACACAGAACCCCAGTACTTACGCCTAAGTTCCAGCAAAACGAGCGCGCGAGCGCCTGAGACCTTGACGGCAGGAAATCAAGAAAATGCGGGTATTCCTAAGACAAAGACCATGCTACAACCTGATACACTGAACCCTAACTAAACCCTAAACCCTCTCAACCCTCAACCCCAAACCCTAAAGCCTGTTCCTTCAGGGCCTTTAGGGCTAGGGCTTGGGGGGGGGTTGATGTTTAGGGTTCAGGGTTTAGGGTTTTAGGGTTTTTAGGGCTTTTAGGGTTTAGGGCTTAGGGTTTTGGGGGTCACGGCGTCAACCCTCCTAAACCCCGTTCAGGGTTTCGGGCTCAGGGCGTCAGAGCGGTTTAGGGTTTAGGGTTTGGGGTTGGGGTTTAGGATTTAGGGTTTAGGATTTAGGGTTTAGGGTTTAGGGTTTAGGGTTTAGGTTTAGGGTTTAGGGTTCCTGCGAAGGTGAGGATGGCCAGCTCGCCACCCGGGTGCTCGGAGAGGAAGGACGTGACGTCCAAGACCTGCCCCAGTGTTTAGGGTACCAGGCTTTGAAGCGGCTCTAGGGTTTATCGTGTGTATGTACATATGTATATGCGTATGGAGAGTAGGGTTTCGTGTTTTTTTTTTTTTTTTTTTTTTTTTGGGGGGGGGGGGGGGGGAGTTTATGGTCGACAGAGTTTGTAGGGGGGGGTGGACCCCCCGACAGGACTCGCTAAGGGCACGCCTGGCTGGGAAATGAATTTGAAGAAGATATAGATAGAGAATTAATATCTTTCCATAGAAATCTTTACTAATAATGAAAGGAAAATATGCTATTTTTTTATTAGTGGAATTCCTTAAAGGATTATTGGAAGATAGAAAATGTAGATTAAAAATATGGAAAAGAAGAAAAGCACAAAGAAGAAATGGAAATAGAAAATGAAAGACAAAGAACCTCTTTAATGTTGGATTGTAAATATAATGTCCTCCACAAAGCCATTCTATTAAAGATGGAAATGGAGATAATAAATTTGTAATTACTGTAACTCCTCATAAACTCATTTGTCCTAAAGGTAAAACATAACCCATAAATGCTGTTCCCATTAAGAAGAAGTAAATAATAATTCCAGAAAACCAAGTATTTGGATTATAAAAATATGAAGCATAAGATATAGCTCTTCCAAGATGAAGAAATATAAAAAGAAAGACAAATGATACACCATTAGAATGAAGATAACGTAAACACCATCTTTAATATATTTCTCTAATTAAAAAGAAAAGAGAAAAATATGCTGAATTAATATCTGATGTATGATCGCGCTCCCTATGTTTATGGGGTGGGTTCTGGGGTTTAGGGTTTTGGGGTTTGCAGGCTCAGCTTGGAGACTACCCGACCTCAACTAGGTTCGGCACCCTAGACCCTAAACCCTAAACTCTATACCCTAAACCCTAAACCCCAAACCCCAAGAAGCCTAAAGAAAAAATCCTTGAAGAGGCCTCCTCCCTCATCCCTCAGAGCTGTCAGAGCCATCAGCCCCCACCCGTGAACTCTCAACCCTAAATGCTTGTAACCCCAATTCTAACTGTACTTATAAGCCCCCTAAGTCCTCTAAGTAGCTAAAAAGTACAAATCTCATAAGTAAGTACAAAAACACCCTCTTCTTGCTAGGGCTGCCCTTAAAAACCGCTGAAGAAAGAGTCCTAAATATGATCCTCTAAACCCAGTGATCATAAGGGAAAACATAAATCTCCCAAGTACCCGGCGAAGCCCGAAACCCTGAAACGGCCCACTTTGCCCAAGCAGCCTGGCCGTCCACGACCACCTGCGGGTTTAGGGTGTGGGGTTTATGGCTAGGGTGTGGGGTTTAGGGTTTGGGGATTAGGGTTTAGGGCTAGGGTTTGGGATTTGGGGTTTAGGGTTTAGGGTTTAGGGCTCTTCGAGAGGTGAGGATTGTGGCCTTTGTGGGCCTACTTGGTTTGGAGCGTTAGGGTTCCTGGGGCTTTCGGGCTCCTGGGGCTTTGGAGGTTTCGGGTTTAGGGTTTAGGGTTTAGGGTTTAGGGTTTAGGGTTTAGGGTTTAGGGTTTAGGGTTTAGGGTTTAGGGTTTAGGGTTTAGGGTTTAGGGTTTAGGGTTTAGGGATCATCGAGGTTGCATGGGGGTCGGTTTCGTGTACTTGGCCATGGTGGGATCTGGCTCAAGGAAGTCTGGCCCCTCTTGGTGCGAACCAAGTACTCGTCATGAGAAGAGGCAATGCACGGCTATATTATAAGAATTAACTCCAGGCTGGTACTCAGCTCAGGTCATGTACAGGGCCTGAGATCTAACGTCAAAACTGAGACCGCGTGAAGCCCTATGAAACCAAATCTCAAGCCTACGTAGCCTAAACCTGACGAACACCATACAAAATACCACCAAGCCCAATGATGCCAGTGAGGGACAAGGTGAACGCCGACGTCCAAAAGCTACGAATGCCTCGCACTTGGCGACTGCCATCGCTTTGGCGAACGAGCGCGGCCACACCCGCGCCCGCGCGAGAGCGCGACTTTCGTCCAACATGCGAGCAGGCCCGAAACCCCCAACCCCGTAACCCTAAACCCTAAGCACACATGGCTCCAGGCCGTGGGCGCGGCGTGGCTTCACCGACCTACCCCAGCTTGCTCTACCCGCTGGAACCCCTTAGTCGTCAGGGTTTAGGGCCACCTCGAAGGCCCTTGAATCCCCGTGAACAAAACATACAAACCCTTCACAACAACAGCAGAAACCCACAACACCTTCAAAAACTACGATACCTAACTCCTAAGAAGACTGTAGAATTCAGAATACTCCTGAGTTGCCAGCCCAGCAGTCAGACTTGCTGTTGTGCTTGGACACCTCCTGACAGGGCTTCTGGCTCAGGGCCCTTGGTCCCCAACAACCTTCAGGGTTTAGGGCTTAGGGTTGAGGGTTTAGGACTCACGAAGAGAGGTTTGAAGTTCAAAGGGGGGTTCTTCGAAGGGTGGCCCTAGAGAGGTTCGGAGAAGCTACGGGATGCTTACTAGGGGTTAGCTTAGGGTTTAGGGTTTAGGGTTTAGGGTTTAGGGTTTAGGATTTAGGGTTTAGGGTTTAGGGTTTAGGGTTTGGGGTTTGGGGTTTGGGGTTTGGGGTTTGGGGTTTGGGGTTTGGGATTTCGGGTCTAGGGTTTTGGGGTTTAGGGTTGAGGGTTGAGGGTTTAGGGTTGAGGGTTTAGGGTTTAGGGTTAGTTTAGGGCTTTGGGCACCTAGAGGCGCTATGGTGATAAGCCAAATAAACCCTACAAGCCCTGCTTGTCTGAACTCCGAACCCGCCCAACAGCCTTTAGGGTTTGGGGTTTAGGGCTTAGGGCTTAGGGCTTAGGGTTTAGGGTTTAGGGTTTAGGGTTTAGGGTTTAGGACTCTAAGCCCCAAAACCCTAAACCCTCTACTTTATTCAGTTCCCCCGTTCCCCCCAAGCACCCAGGAGACCCCTCATCTGCGGGGCACTCGTGGGTGTCCCCATAAACCTACTACTACAAGCCTCCCAAGTAACTAGCTCATTGTTGGGATAATATTAAAAATTTACATATTTATTCCTTGTAGGGTTTAAGTACCCTTAAAAACGTAAAATGGTACCCAACTATGATAAAGCCTTAAGCCTTCCAGGCTGGAGACCCCTGGGCGCATCTAGGGATGTTCGTTCTTACGGCTTGTAGGGTTGATGTCTCCCCTTATACTAACATCCCTTAATAGGGATTATAGTACCCCCTATTATCATCCCTATTAAGGACTCATAGTATAAGGGGGAACATCCCAAGGTTTAGGGTTTATATGGCCTAAACCCAACACGCATCACAGACCCCTCCTCCAAGGTGATGCCACCGCCACCACCTCCGCCGCCGCCTTTGAGAACACCACGCTTTGGAGGTTTCGGGTTTTAGGGTTTTAGGGTTTAGGGTTTAGGCTTTAGGGTTTAGGGTTTAGGGTTTGGGGTTTAGGGTTTAGGGTTTAGGGTTCGGGGATTCGGGTTTGAACCCTAATCCCCGAACCCGACACCTCAAACCCCAAACCCCGAACCCAATGTAAAGCTTGCAGCAGTTCCGCCACGCATGACGGAGTGCAGGAACGTAGGGTTTTGTAGGGCTTAGGGGTTGGGAGTTCAGGTTTCAGGTTCTTAGGATTAAGCTCATTTGAGGCTTGGGGTTTCGGATGAGAGTAAATAGCAATTCAACGGCACGTTTGCCTGCCCTCCCAAAACCCAAAGTGTTTCCCAGCTAGTTCCCCGAAGCCCGAAGACGCTTTCGGGGGTCAGGGGATTGTAGCAGCGTAGCATGCAGGGGCACTTAAGTGCCTTGCCTTCAAGGGCTCTCAGGGTTTAGGCTTCCCAAGGGCTTCCGGGGCTTTCAGGGATCCTCCCCTGAACCCTAAACCCTAAACCCTAAACCCTAAACCCTAGACCCTAAACCCTAAACCCCTTTCAGGGATCCTCCCCTCCCTGGCGCCTGCTGCGGCCACAGCGCCGCCGCCGCCGCCACCGCCGGCACCGATCATGCCAACCACCGAGTCAGGGGCGTACTTGCCGATCACATCTGGGGGGTGGATCCTGGAGGACGAGAGCTGGTCCGTTGGGGTGTAGAGATTCTTTTTTTGGGGGGGGCGGGGGGGTTCGAGGGGCGAGAAGCGAGTGGGCTTGGCAGTTTTTTCGAGGAGGGTTGGGGCTCAGGGCTTGTTTTGAGCTCACTCCGAAGTGTTGTGGCGTGAATCGTCCTTGTCTTGGGGTCTCAAGTTACCTACACCTACACCCATGGAGTGTAGAAGGGGAGCGCTGATTCTTCGGACACTCATTTCCATGAATTCTGGATGCCGAGCTGCATGTTGAACTCCTCCGTGGCGTCCTTGCCGGCGAAGGTGAGGATGGCCAGCTCGCCGCCGGGGTGCTCCGACAAGAAGCTGGTGACATCCAGCACCTGGCCATCGACCACCACCCAGCAGTCCGCCTTCGTGTTGTGCTTGGCAACGTCGGCAAGGGTGATGCCACCGCCACCGCCGCCGCCACCGGCCGCAGGTGCGGCTCCTGCAGCGGGCGCGGCAGAGTTCATCTTGTCTTCGTAGGAGCCGCCGGCCAGCTTGGAGCTTTCCACGGCGCCAGTGAGGCCTCCGCCAGTGATGTCTTTCAGGTCCACAGGCTTCATGTCCGGACCCAGCATGTACTTGGCGGCTGCAATGCCGGCCACGCGGCCGAACACCACGCAGTCCAGCAGGGAGTTGCCGCCCAGGCGGTTGTTGCCATGCACGCCGCCGGCGACCTCGCCAGCAGCGTACAGGCCCGGGATCGCCACGTTCTTGGAGCCGATGCACGCGGAGTCCGTGTCGATGAGCAGGCCGCCCATGCAGTAGTGGATCACCGGCGTGATGATGGCCACGTAGAAGGGCTCGCTCTTCACCGCAGAGCCCGGAATGATGTTGTGGTAGAACTTCTTGCCGCTGCCGGTCTTGCCACTGGCCTCATCCCAGGACTTGCCGGAGGGATACGCGGGCCAGCTGCCTCCATCGGGGTCCGACTCCGTCTTCTTGGCTGCCTGGTAATGATCCTCATGCGCCTGCTCGATGACGGACAGGGGGACGCCCATGTCCTTTGCAAGCTCCTCGCCGCTCGCGTAGCTCTTCATGACCTTACAAGACACATATGCAAGAGCACAAGCCCATCAGCCAGTGAAATATCTTGTAAAACACAAGATCCTCAACCGAAACATCTAGGAATCTAGGCACGGCAAGGACACACTGCTGCGCGTCACTCACAGGATCTTTCCCTGCATCCCACCCCTCTCCCCCCATCCGCCCCCGCCACGCCATCTTCATCTTGTAAACCCTGAACCACTAAACCCGTAAGCTCTCAGTTCTGAACCCTTCCACCACAAAACGCCTAATCCCTGAAAGCCCTAATCATTGGCCGTATTCTCAACAAAATCAGGAAGAAGCACAGAGACAGAGTGAGAGAGCGAGAGGAGAGGGAGGGAGTGCGCTTGGCGGCCCGGCGCCTCGACCAGTGTAGTGCCTGGCACAAGAAGAACTACTTTTTGAGGTCTCTTCAGGGTTTAGGGTTTAGGGTTTAGGGTTTAGGGTTTAGGGTTTAGGGTTTAGGGTTTAGGGTTTAGGGTTTAGGGTTTAGGGTTTAGGGTTTAGGGTTTAGGGTTTAGGGTTTAGGGTTTAGGGTTTGGTTGCTCCAAATCAGGGCCCTGTTTAGACACCCTTTCTGAATCAGCAAACCTTTTCATAAAGGGCTCCCACAAAGGAACCCCCCCTATATCGAAACCACACAGGCTAGACGTATGCATAACACCTTAAAAGGGGGTATTCGGCGTGATGCTTAAGTAAACCCAGGAAGCTGATAAGCCGTAAGAAGTCGAAATTCCGCAGCAGCGGTAGCACAAAGAAGGGTGCCCCTGCTTGCCGAAAGGAGTTTTTTTCACAAGGAAACCTATACCTAGAAAAACAATGCTCAAACTTAGGGTACGCCCCAATATATAATAGCATCTTTCTAGTAGGACCCCAAAAAAGGGACCCCTAATCACCCTAACCCAAAGGGTCCTAAGTACCTACATAGTAGAAAGTAGGGTTTCTTTTTTTCCGAAGCCATACCGTGAATCGACTGTACGTCTACATAGTAGAAAGTAGGGCGTCTTTTTTTTCGACGCCATACCGTGAATCGACTGTACGTCTACATAGTAGAAAGTAGGGCTTCTAGACTGGGAATTACTATTCTGGTTTGGGTAAGTGTGCCCCATATAGGTTCTTAGGACCCTTTGGGTAACCAACACAACAACAGCGGGCACCTCTGGGTCCCCTGTGTAAACCCCCCCCCCCCCCATGCCGCCGAGGGCAGGGCTTGCAATGCCAGATGATCTCGTCCGATGCTGCCTTGTTGAGGCACAGCCTGGCGCCATCACGGTTTAGGGCTACGGGCTGATGATGTATGTCGATATCTATGTGTATATATATATATATATATATATTTCTACACACTATATTCCGCATTCTGCGTAGTACATATATATATATATATACATACACATTTAGGGGAGGTGCATTTTGGTCCTTTGAAAATAAGGGATTCGAGTACTCAAAGGTACCTGTAAGGGAACACCCCCCCCCCCGGGAAGATTGGAGTCAAAAAGCTGCACCCGCACACTCCCCCACCGCCACCCAAAAGCAAATATGAACTAAAGACACATATAACCTGGTAAACCATAGCTCTCAACCCTGAAACCCCCTTTGAACCCGAAACCCTATAAACCTTCAACCCTACACCCTACAGCAAACCGCAGCTCTGTGCCCCCCCCTCCCGAGGGCCGGAAAGGAGGCTTGCTCTTCCACATCTCGCCGGTGACGTAGTCGCGGCCTTAAGGGTTTAGGGTTTAGGGTTTAGGGTTTAGGGTTTAGGGTTTAGGGTTTAGGGTTTAGGGTTTAGGGTTTAGGGTTTAGGGTTTAGGGTTTAGGGTTTAGGGTTTAGGGTTTAGGGTCTCGGGGCAAGAGGTGCATATACCCCAGGTGGTTTAGAGTTTCGGGTCGACAGGGTTGGGGGCTCGTCCAAAGGGCGATCATGTAGGCCCTGGGCGCACTTAAGGAACCGAAACGCAGAAGAGGGAGCGTCGTCTGGCGAAAGTTGAAGGTTCGAGGGGGTGGGGGCTTTTGAAAATGCTGGGTTTCGGTGAGGCTTCGGGCGCGAAGTTAATTTCAACCGCCCTGGGCCCCAAGCCGTGAACCCTAAACCCCAAACCCTTTACCCTAAACCCTAAAACCCTTAACCCTTAACCCTTAACCCTAAACCCTAAACCCTAAACCCCAAAGGGTGGCATCTCCTGGGCGCCCCTGCGCCCCAGCTCGTTGCAGAAGCGCTTGCCTCTGGCCACGCGGCTAGGTTGCACGAAGAAAGTTCAGGAGGTGAGAACTAACCGGAAGGCCCTACAATCCGCAACTCCCGCCCGGGTGTTAGCCCTAAGCCCCCGAAACCCCGAGGCAACCTCCACCAGCCATGAATCTTGAGCGCTTCGCAGTTCCTTCAGTCTTTAGGGTTTAGGGTGGGTCCCCTGAGGCTTGGAGTTTAGGGTCTAGAGTTCAGGCTTTCGGGCTCGCAGCTCGGGAACTCTAGATGCCCTGAAACTGAAACCCTAGCCAAGAAACTCACCATACTTCTCAGGTTAAATGTTTTTTTATGTTATACTGTATGCATATCCACCATCCCCTCAAATCAACCCCCAAACCCTACACCCCAAGCCCGAAACTTAGGCCCTAAACCCTACATTTCATACACCCAAGCCCTGAGCCCTCAACCCATAGCTTCCCTACACCCATTCAGAAACCCCGAAAAACTCTCGGTAGCCCAGCAACCATATTATAACCCCTTATTGGGCTGGTTACTTCACAAGGGAACCTTGAACCAAGAGAAAGGGAAAAGTGCACCACTGGCCTACCAAGAACCCTGAATTGCAGAACACGATTTTTGAGGGGACCGCCTTCCGCGTTGAGGATGATGCCGCCCACGCCGCGCAGGGCCTTGCGCTGCATGTGGATAGGGTTTAGGGCTTGAGGTTTAGGGTTTAGTTTAGGGTTTAGGGTTTGGGGTTTAGGGTTTAGGGTTTAGGGCTTCGACCCCTCCAAGTGGGTCAACTCCACAGCAGCCAGCACTCGCAAATGCAGCAAAGGACAAGAAATCAAGACCCGTAGTCCTCAAGCCCTATTAATTTCTGTAAGCCAGACCCTGACAAGGCCCAATGGCCCTCAACCCTTAAACCCCTAAACACCGAAACCCTAAACCCATGAACACCGAAACCCTCAACCCTAAACCCCAAACGCCGAAACCCGCAATCCTCAGCCCCCAAGCCCTGAACCCCCCCGAAACACCGAAACCCTACCTGGGGCTCCGTTTACCTACTATGTTGGGGCTGATGCCCGATGTTCAGGCGGGGTAAACCTACTGTTTGTAGGGTGCTGCAGTCACAGGTAAACCCTAGCATAGGGGCTTTAAGAATTAGAATAGGGTTTTGGGGGTTGTCATAGTAGAATTATAAGGGGCCATAGGGGAATATTAGTCATTATTCCGAGCCCTAAACCCTAAACCCTAAACCCTAAACCCTAAACCCTAAGCCCCCGCCTCCGCGGCCAGGAACTTGATCTTGGCATCCGCGTCGTCCGGCTTCACAAGTCCGGTCGGGTGCACCTCTTTGATGCTTTCTCTAAGGGTTTTAGGGGGTTTAGGGTTTAGGGGTTAGGATTTAGGGTTTAGGGTTTAGGGTTTAGGGATTAGGGGTTAGGGGTTAGGGTTCAGTTTAGGGGTTTAAGGGTTTAGGGTTTCGGGGCTTAGGGTTTAAGGGTTGAAGGGTGAAAAAGCTGGAGGGCTTGAGTTTGAGGGCTTCAGGGCTTGAGGGCTTCAGGGCTTGAGGGATTGAAGGCTTGAGGAACTAGGGGCTTATGGGTTTAAGCTTTAGGGTTTAAGGGTTTAAGAGGGTTTAGGGGGCTGGATACGAGACCTAAACCCCGAAACCCTAAATCCGAAACCCTAAACCCCGAAACCCTGAAACCCGAAACCCTAAACCCCGAAACCCTCAAACCCTAATCCCCGCAACCCTAAACCCCGAAGCCCTCACACAGAGAGACCCACGGAGCGTGTGGCCGGCCTGGACCCACTCGAGGTCGATGGTCTTGGCGCCAATCGCCTGCGCTAGGGACGCGGTGCGCTTTAAGGTCTCGGGTTTAGGGTTTAGGGTTTAGGGCTTGGGGTTTGGGGTTTAGGGCTTGGGGGTGGGGGTTTAGGGCTTAGGGTTTGGGATTTATGGCTGGGGCCTTAGGGTGTGGGGTTTGGGGTTTGGAATCTACAGTAGTGCTTGTAGCTTGGCTAGTCCAGGTCTTAGGGGATTGCAGGGATAGAGTTAGGGGGAGAGGGGATTTGGGGCTTCAAGGTTTGAATCCTGCAGGTTTGCTTGGGAAAACCAGGTGCTTTGAGGCTGCATGCTCTTGAACTCAAAGCCAGGAACCCGAAAGAAGACGAAGAAACGAGGAACACCAAACAGCCTGGTTACCGTTCTGTGGTACAAACGAAACATAGACCCTAAACCCTAAACCCTAAACCCTAAACCCTAAGCCCCCAAACCCTAAACCCTATAAACAAAGAAGAACAAATTTTTGGGACGGAGAAACGTTGAGCCCGGAAGTAGCCGCCAGGAAATGTCTATGTCTGTGATTCTCAATGGGCGCGTCTTTGGTGTGGTTTAGGGTTTAGGGTTTAGGGTTTAGGGTTTAGGGTTTAGGGTTTAGGGTTTAGGGTTTAGGGTTTAGGGTTTCGGGTTTAGGGTTTCGGGTTTAGGGTTTAGGGTTTAGGGTTTAGGGTTTAGGGTTTAGGGTTAGGGTTTAGGGTTTAGGGTTTAGGGTTTAGGGTTTAAGGCTTGGGGGGGGGGGGGTCTTGGACCGTGTGCTGAGTAGGGGCTGATAGGGCTTTGGGCTTAAGGCTCCCTATTACTTTCCCTGTTAGGCCACGAATACTATAAGTTGGGATGTTCCCCCTTATCCTAACAGTCCCTTACGGGGATTATGATAGGGTGTACTATAATCCCGATTAAGGACTGCTTGTATAAGGGGGAGCATCCCAAACTATATGGGCCTCACCTAAGGAACGGGTGTCTCCGGGTGCTGGCCTCACCCATCTTGATGCCATCGCCAGTGCAGTGCTCACCGTTGGTGGTGGGCCTGAAGATTTGTTTAGGGTTTAGGGTTTCGGGTTTAGGGTTTAGGGTTTAGGGTTTAGGGTTTAGGGTTAGGGTTTAGGGTTTAGGGTTTAGCGGTGGGGTTCAGAGCTTCGGGAACCCTAAGCCCCAAACCCCTACAAACCATTCGAAGTCCTGAATCGCCCAAAGGCTCCCTATGTACGGCCCTTCAGCATCGCGTGCGAAGGGGCGCAGACTCGAACAACCAACCGCTTCAAGATTGTCAGGTGGAGATGCCGAAGTACCTTTTCTAGGGTTTAGGGTTTAGGGTTTAGGGTTTAGGGTTTAGGGTTTAGGGTTTAGGGTTTAACCCACACCTGGGAGGTGCCGCTTTGCAGCGTTCCAGTGCTTGGCGCCCTTGCTTCAGGCATCATGGTCCTAAACCCTAAATCCTCAACTCTAAGCCCTTAACCCTGCACCCTAAATACTCCAGCAGGCGGCCCAAAAAGAGCACATGGATGCCAAGACGCAGGTGCAGGAGGTCGGGCCGGTACTTGGCAAGGAGGGAGTCCTTTTGCACGGCAGGCAGGAGCGGGTTTAGGGTGTAGGGTTTAGGGTTTAGGGTTTAGGGTTTAGGGTTTAGGGTTTAGGGTTCAGGGCTCATAGGGCTTGAGAGTTTAGAGGGGTCATAGAGCTTACACAGCTGATGGGGCTCGGGGTTTTTGAGGATTCACAGGGTTCCTAAACCCTAAACCCTAAACCCTAAACCCTAAACCCCCCTCCCCCCCCCCCCCCCCCAAAAAAAAAAAATCCCGGAGAGTCAACTTGCAGCCCTCCTGGGTGAAGTCGGCGCCGAAGCCGCCTGCACATGGCGGGGAGGGGGGAGAGGGGGTTTAGGGCTTCATAGGGGTTTAGGCTTTAGGGTTTAGGGTTTAGGGTTTCGGGTTAAGGGTTCACCCGAACGAACCCCAAGCTTCAAGCCGAAGTCGGAGCACCTGACGCCAGGATCACCGGGCCGAACTCTTGAAAATTCTGCCCGCCCTTCTCCTGGGCGCGAGGAGGGTGGGGGCGAGGCGAAGGAGGGGGGCTGGGAGGAGGGGTTTGGGGGGGCAAAGGGCGCAGGATCGTGGGTTTGGGAGTTGCGCATTGGGAATTCTTGGCTTCATTTAGGGCTTAGGCTGCTGGGCTTTTGGGGTTAGGGTTGGGAATCAACCATGAGAAGTATGGGATTGGGGCTTGTGGGTTTTGAGGGTTTAGGACATATCGAGGGTGTGGGCTGGGTACTCCAGGTGGAGGCGTGCGATGCTGGAGACCGATTGGCGTCTACCGGTGGGTTGTGTTGCATCTACCCCAAACCCTAAACCCTAAACCCTAAACCCCAAACCTTAAACTCTAAACACTAAACCCTAAACCCTAAACCTACGTACTTGAGGCTCGGTTCCTGGGCTCGGCCAGACTCAACTAGAGTTTTGGGGCTCGCCCTGTTGGGACTTAGAGTAACCAAGGGCCTTCGTGACAGGGGATGTTAGGGCCCAAAACCCTAGCCCCCTAAGCTCTCTATCTAAACCTTTGGGGGGGTTTAGGGTTTAGGGTTTAGGGTTTAGGGTTTAGGGTTTAGAGTTTAGGGTTTAGGGTTTAGGGTTTAGGGTTTAGGGTTTACCCCCCGCTTGTTGCGGCCACGGCGGCGTAGACGCAGCCCACGCAGGCCGGGCCGTCCGTGACGAGCTTGAACACCTGCTGAGGGCCATAACAGCTTGAACTCAAGGCTTGAACCCTAAACCCTAAACCCTAAACCCTAAACCCTAAACCCTAAACCCTAAACCCTAAACCCTAAACCCTAAACCCTAAACCCTAAACTAACCCTAAACCCTAAACCCTAAAATAAAACCCGCCGAGGCGTCGGGACGTAGGTGTATGGGCAGCATACAGCAGGTACCCCAGCTCTAATCCCTCCCCAAAAGCGCCTGACCAGATTGCACCCCCTTGTGGGTCCCTCCCTAGCCGGGAGCGGATGGTGCATCGGGACCGGAGGGCATTTAAGCCCCACTGGGGCGGACAACCCCCCGAGGTGGGTCGCGTAGCGTTAAACTTATGTCTCTTCGAAGCCCAGAAGAGAACCGAAGCCTAGCCCTCAATTTCCCATGAGAAGTGTAAGTGTCTACATAGTTCCATTCCCTTGGGCTTTATGAACACACCAACACAGCATGATTCCCAGGGAAGCTCCCTCACACCCTAAACCCTAAACCCTAAACCCTAAACCCTAAACCCTAAACCCTAAACCCTAAACCCTAAACCCTAAACCGCCCCCCAAACCGCGCCTTCGCCTTGGTGATGATGCGGGCCAGGTCGGTCTTCTCGGCCACCTCCAAGAAAGAGCGGCTCGAAGGAGGGGTTTAGGGTTTAGGGTTTAGGGTTTAGGGTCTAGGGTTTAGGGTTTAGGGTTTAGGGTTTTGGGTTTAGGGTTTAGGGGGTTTAGGGGGTTTAGGGGGTTTAGGGGGTTTAGGGGGTTTTGGGGGTTTTGGGGGTTTAGGGTTAGGTGTTTGGGGCTCAGGGTTTAGGGTTTGAGCTCTAGCAGGCATTCGAGGGCTTACGGTTGAGGGTTCAGGGTGTCTAGTGTAGCCGTGTTCTGATGAACTGTGACCTGCCAATTGTAGCGTTTGGGGTTAGTACAGGGCTTCGGGGGGGCGTTGGGGGACGCGGGAGCCCGATAACACCCACCAGAAACCCGCATACCACAACCCACAACCCTAACCCTAAACCCTAAAACCCGAAACCCACTCCGACAAGGGACCTCAGCTGACTTGCCCGGCTTCCAAGACAAAAGCTCACGAACCCTTTGGGATGGCATAGCCCCCCCCCCCCCCCCCCCCCCGCCCCCAACAAAAAAGCAAAAAAGGTAAAAGGCTGCTTTCCCGGGCCTTGTTGTCGGAGTTTAGGGCTGAGGTTCTGAAGGCGCTTGGGGCTTCGGGCATTGTGCCTTTTGGGGTTTTGTCGGGCTCTGAAGGTTTTGCAGGCTTTGAAGCTTCGGGGCTTAGGTTTTGAAGGCGTTTTGGGTCCTCGGGTTCCACTTCAAGGTTCAGTGTTTAGGGTTAAGGGTCCGTTTACAGGTTTGGGCGCCTTCTCCAACATCTGGATCAGGGCGTAGGTGATGGTCATGCCAGGAAATCGCTCCTGGCAGGACGCAGGGTTTTCCAAACATCCACACACACACTGCCGGTAGTCTTAACTAACATGGGGGGGAAGGGATTCACTGATCCTGAGCCAAAGCCCCCAAACCCTATACAGACCCTCTAGAGGCCCATAAACGCTCAACACTACAACCTTGCTCTTCTTACATTTTCCCTAAACCAGAAAAGACATATCCCACCTGCCAAGTGTAGGGGCCGGAGCAATTACTAATATCCTTCCCTCAGGGTCCCTTGATAATTATGCGATAATAACCCCAAAAACCCAATTCTAATTATTCGGGCCCTAAACCCTAAACCCTATATTGCAATCCGCTTCACCCTTAAAGGGTTAACTTTGTACAGGGTAGATCAGGGGTATACAAGGGATCCCCATTTAACCCAAAGCTGGGGAGCCGCTCCTGAACCCCAAAACTTTACAACGCTTCATGGACTGAAGCAAGGACCCTTGGGGGGGCCTGTCGGGTCTGTGTAAAGCAATACTACATGCAACGACCCCCGAAAGGTATGTTGGGTTCAGGACTTTAAGGTTTGAGGGTCCGAGGCTTTAGGCCCTCAACCCTACACCCCAAACCATAAACCCTATAAAAACCTACAAACCCTGGAGACCCTGCAAACTCTATAGACCCCACAAACCCTCCGAACCTGAAAGGACCTGAAAAGAGCAGAAGCTCTGGGGGCAGCCCCTCGCCTCTAAGGCCCCAAGCACCCTACCGCCCGAAGACCCAAACACCCTAAACCCCAGAACCCTAAAGCCAACAAAGCCCTGAAACCTCAAACCCCTAAAGTCAGACCCTATAGACGGCCCCCCACACTCCTACACGAAAACCCTCCTAAGCCCGAAAGCCCAGACGCACCCCCCACGGCCTTGCCGCGGTGCGTTCGCGGCTGAGAGTGGCCTGCGCTGCGTCTGGGAAGGCTACGGGGGCCTCCGGGACTAACCCCCTGAGGTATGCTGAGGCGCTGGCATTCAAGGGACTCAAGGAGGGACCCTGATAAGGGGCCTTAGGGGTTCTTTAGGGGGCTATTTAGGGGCTTCCTGGTATATAGGGATGGGTGGTATATAGGTATCGAAGATAGTAACAAAACAGCAGAGGAGTTATAGGGGTTATATGGGGGAATACGATGAAGGGTCCCTTCTAGGGGTCCCTCCTTGTACCCCTCAAGACATCCTGAACCTCAAGGGGTTTAGGTTTAGGTTTTAGGGTTTGGCCTGCAGCCACAAAGGCGCCTGAACTGTAAACCCTAAATAATAAGGGCAAGTACCCTTTTTGGGGTTGGTTACTTTCTAAGCGAACCTAGAAACAATAAACGGGCAACAGGGTACCGCTGGGCCACCAAGCATTAATCACCAGAACAACCGTAATCCCCTCCCCCTAATTTTCAATAGTAAACCCCCCCTACCCCCTCATACTAAAAACAGACCATACACTGGGGTAGGGGGTGGTTCATCTTAGTGAGGCTCCTTCGGCCCCGGTCTGAACGTGCGCCCAACCTCCTGGTGCTTTCGGGCTTGGGGTTTACCCGAAACCCTAAACCCGAAACCCGAAACCCGAAACCCTAAACCCTAAACCCTAAACCCTAAACCCTAACCCTAAACCCTAAACCCTAAACCCGAATCCTAGCCTGAAACCCTAAACCGTACACCCCTGCAGGTTATTGGTGCTTACCTCTTAGCTAAGTGAAGCGTCGCCCTTGGGAGAGCTCTTGGGTCTTGGCGAATCAGGGATAAGCAGGCAGGGTAAGTTGTACTGTTCAAGAGACCCCGGCTACTCTTATTCCCAATATGCGACTGCGGTTTAGGGTTTGGGGTTTAGACTAGACGGACCCAATAGATGGCCGTACGTCAGCGCGTCAACAGTACGAAAGCCATTCTCTCTTGAGGAAGTTCCCCCTTATACTAACAGTCCTTGATAGGGATTATACTTCCCCCCTATTATTTTCCCTATTGAGGGCTGTTAGTAACCATTAGGATAAGGGGGAACATCCCCAATTCTCTCCAACAAGGTCGGCCCCACCATCCCCAAAGCCGCGTATGCAAGTAGGCCCGCCAAGAGCCTAGACCCTGAACAAAAACCTAAACCCTAAGCCCTAAGCCCTAAACCCTAAACCCGAAACCCTAAACCCTAAACCCTAAACCCAGAGCCAAAAGAGGGCCTCCCAGGCGCGCGACCAGAGACAGGTCCAGGTTGAACTTCTCCACCAGCCAATCCTGGGGGGGCTCTTGATGAAGGCCTGGGTTTAGGGTCCGGGGTTTAGGGTTTCTCGAGGGTTTAGGGTTTCGGTTTAGGGTTTAGAGTTTAGGGTGTTTGGAGTGTACAGGGTGTATACAGGGCGCATTATGTAGGATAAGGTGTACAGGGTGTATCGTAGGGTTTGCAGGATTTATTGGGTTTACAGGGTTTGTACAGGTTAAATCGGGTTGATAGGGTTGATAGGGTTGGGGGCCGCGACTGTCACACAGGAGGGATGACCTGAGCTTCAGGAGAACTCGACCTAAGGCAGCTCCCAAGGGGTTTAGGGTTTCGGGCTTAGGGTTCTGGGGCTTGGGGCTTACCATGGAGGGTTAGGGAGAAGTAGGACCCTCAGGGAGCCCTGGGGATGTTCGGAGTCCTTCATTTTTGTTGATTTGTTTTGCCCTTTTGGTTTAGGGAGGGGGGGGGGTGTCCCACGACCTGGGGGCACACAAAAAACCAAAGGGGCGTGGCTTTCAAGCCCTACAAACACGAAATGCCTGGAACCGAAAATGCTTCAGTGCCCTACCTCAAGGCAGCCACTCGCCCGGTCTCTGGTGCATTTCATGGCCCTAGACCCTAAACCCTACCCTCCTCATCACTGAATTGGCCAAAGAAGCCAGAAAACCTTTTAACATTTCAGAGCCCTAAAACTGGTTGCGAAGCTTCCCCAGCTTACACCCCCCGACCCCCAAATAAGAGTCAGCCCCTGAACCCTGAGCCAACAAAACCTAAACCCCTAAACCCCTACACCGCTACACCCCAAACCCTACACCGTGAACCCTAAACCCTAAGCCGCTTTTCGGGGTCCAGGTGTCGCTTTCATACGTTGCGGCTTGCGGTGTCTTCCGGCTCAGGGTTTGGACACTAAAGCCCCTAAAGCCCAACCCCCACCCCCCCCCCCCCCCCCAAAAAAAAAAAAAAAAAAACAAAACATGAAACAAAATAGAGAAATTAAAGACCAAACCCCAAAAAACTCCACCTCCCCAAAAAAAAACACCAAAAAGTCCCCCCCCAACAAAAAAAAAAGAAGAAAAACAAAACAGGCAGAAACCAAGCCCCAGGTTCGACATCCGCGGCGCTGTTGTCGCAAAGCAGCCTTGGCGGCTACGGTCTGGCGAGGCTCACCCTGGTTTAGGGGCTAGGGGTTAGGGTTCTATAGGGGTTGGGGTTTGCTGTGATAGGGCGTAGGTGCTGTGAAGGTTAGGTTTCGGAACAAGCTCGAAAGCTTCGTGATGTGCGAAGAGCAGCTTTGTCCCGATTGTGGAGGGCCATCTAACACTTTCTCCCACCCCACGCCGTCCGAGGCGGCAAAGCCACCCAAACCTATTCCTTTTAGGGTTTAGGCCAAAACTCAAGGCAACAGTCCATGTCAAAAAACTAATTCAGTTTCATGACGTTCGGTTGGGTCCGAGAGTCGAAAGTTTTTTTGAAGGGGGAAGCGGGGGTCAGGCGGGGTAGGCGGGCCAGGCAGGAAGGGGGTAGGAGGCAAAAAAAACGGGGGCCAGGGGCAGGGCGCCAGGGGGGGCAGAGGGCCAGGGGGTAGCGACGCCCAAGAACAGACGGGGGGGGGGGGGGGTGTGTTTGATTAGGAGAACGTGCTCCGATACCGGGCCTATCGTGGGTGCTACCGACCCCCAACCCGAGCTGCGGGAGGCGGGCGAGCGACCTGGCTTAAGCGCCGCCCCCCACCGTAGGGGGGCGGCCTAGGCCCTGAGTTTAGGGTTTAGGGTTTAGGGTTTAGGGTTTAGGATTTGGGGTTTAGGGTTTAGGGTGCCCAAAACTCGGGATTGGAGCTTATAGGGCATAGGGTTTAATTTAGGGTCTTGGGATTTGGGTTGGGGGCTGAGGGTCTACCACATGTCCTGTTTTCAGTACCTGGCCTGTTTTCAATACCTGGCCCAACTAAACCCTAACCCTGCGAAAACACGAAAACTCATAGGTCCTTGGCCTCAATCAAGTCCTCGACCTCCTAAGGCATTATCCCCAAGGAAGCCCCCAAACCCCACAAACACCTAAACTCCAAAACCCCAAAATCCTAAAACCCTAAGCCCCTTAACCCCCTAACCCTGAACCCTGAACCCCGAAACCCTAAACCCTAAACCCCCAAGCCCCCCACACCCTGAAATGAACCCTAGACATTTCTGCCGCTTCGGGGCTTCGCAAGCTCCGGCTTCTTCGCGCCTCCCTTGAGGGTGTCCTCCAAGCGCTCTTGGGGGGTTTAGGGTTGAAGGTTTAGGGTTTAGGGTTTAGGGTTTAGGGTTTAGGGTTTAGGGTTTAGGGTTTAGGGTTTAGGGTGTAGAGTTCAGGGTTTAGGGTTTAGGGTTTGGGTTTAGGGTTTAGGGTCCAAGGGGTTTAGGGTTTAGGGGCTTAGGGCTTATGAACTTGGGGCTGAAGCTTCACGAGCTTTAGGTTCAGGGGGTGTAGGGTTTAGCCCTAAACCCTAAACCCTAAACCCTAAACCCTGAACCCTAAACCCTAAACCATTTGTATTGCGGTCCTCGTAAAACCCCAAACCCCAAACCCCAAACCCTAAACCCTAAACCCTAAACCCTAAACCCTAAACCCTAAACCCTAAACCCTAAACCCTAAACCTAGGACTGGAGGCTCAGCAGGGTTTAGGAGCTGGGGGCTTCCTGGCCACAACACCTTGCTCAGCCCCCGACTGGGTGCGGGGGTTTAGGGGGTTTAGGGGGTTTAGGGGGTTTAGGGGGTTTAGGGGTTTAGGGTTTGGGTATGGGGTTTTGCTGCTGGCCTGCTTGATGGATGTATACCCAAGGCTATTAGGGTTTAGTTTTTTTTTTAGGTTTTAGGGATGTTTATTTATGGTTCACCGAGGGTTTGTTTAGGGTTTTATTTGGGGTTATGCAGGGTTTGGGGTTCATCTGGGGTTTCGGGGGTGAAGGTACTGCCATACGCTGGAACAAGAAAGGGTGGTCCGCAGTGAAGATCTCGGCGTTGTCCGGGATGCCCTTGGCCTTTTGGGTCTTGGTACCTCTTGGGGCCAGGTGGTTGAGGGCTTGAGAGGTTTAGGGTTTAGGGTTTAGGGTTTAGGGTTTAGGGGTTAGGGGTTAGGGGTTAGGGGTTAGGGTTTAGGGTTGAGAGAACCTCGCCGAGGGTGTAGGGCTTAGGCCGAAAAGACGATGCCAGTGTGGCCGCAGGTTGTCCGACGAAATCCAAGACCGGACCGGCCTTCACCCCCAAACCCTAAGCCCCTAAACCCAAAACCCAAGATAAACCGTAAACTCTAAGCCCTAAACCCTAAACCCTAAACCCTAAACCCTAAACCTCAAACCCGTAAAGAAAAACCGAAGCCCTTGGTTTCTGTCTTGGTCTGGGGCCCTCTAATGATTGTTCTTGGAGGGGCTGAGCCCTAATACCCAGCTTCAGGTGTCGATTTAGGGTTGAAGGATTAGGCCTTAGGATTAAACCCCAAACCCAAACCCCCCAAGCCCCAAACCCTAAACCCCAAACCCTAAACCCTAAACCCTATAACGGTTGAGGTCTTAGGGCCGAGACGACAATTCAGGACTTTGGAATCACAACTTCGTAACCCTAAACCTTGAACCCTAAACCCTATAAGGGGTTGAGGTCTTAGGGCCGAGCCGGGGGGTTAGGACTATGGAGTCACAACTTCTTAGCCCTAAACCCTAAACCCTAAACCTTAAACCGCGGCCTGCGCCGTTGATGCCCGACCTTGGCTGTCGTGGGGCGTGTTTTTGCGATGGGGTTCTTGTGGGGTTAGGGTTTAGGGTTTAGGGTTTAGGGTTTGGGGTTTAGGGTTTAGGGTTTAGGGGTCAGGGGTTTAGGGTTTAGGGTTTAGGGTTTAGGGTTTAGGGTTTAGGGTTTAGGGTTTAGGGTTTAGGGTTTTTCGGGGGTTCCTGGAACCTGGTGCAGATTCAGGGGGGTAGGGCTAGCTTTCCGTTCCTTAGCTGGTTCTTCCGAGGGGGTTTGGGCCATTACGTTCTCCAAAAACCCGGGTAAAAAACCCCGAGGCCCTCATCCACATGATGCCCTAAAGCCTGAAACCACCCAAAATGCTCTGCGCTTGAGTGGGACCAAATATCTCGTCCGAGTTGCGTGGCCTTCGTACTGTTGCCGCCGCCTCGGCTATTCGTGTGCTTTGTGAAAGGCCTCAAGCTTACACCCTAAAAATCCGACACGCACGGCCTGAAGCCCGCCCTGAAATTAAGCTTTGGGGTAGGGGTTTTAGGGGTTCAGGGTATCTTAGGCCGGAAAGCCCTAAAGACTCTGGGAGGCAGGGGAGTGGTGAGGTGTTTGGGGTTTCGGGCTTAAAAGCGTTTTAGGGTCTAGGGCTTGCGGGGGAGTAGGGCTTTGAGGCTTCGGGTACTGTAGGGTCTGTTAGGCACTAGGCAACCGGTTCTTGATTTAAGGGTCACAAGCGGCTAAGGCCATTCACGTGAGCATTTCCTCGCATAGCCCGCCTTCTGCAACCCAAACAGCCATAGTCAGGGAGACTCCTGATTATAGGTACCCCCTAACTTTGCGAAACCCCCAGAGGGATACCCCCTTCTACTAACATTCCTTAGCCTTAGCAGGGACTATCGTACCCCCCTACTAGAATCCGTATTAAGGACTGCTAGTATAAGGGAGAACATCCCCAAACCCCCAGGTTGACCCCTGTGTTTCACCTGGCCAGGCTGCAGAAGGACGACTTGTCGAGCAACACAACTCGGCCGCCGTTCTCGACCACGGTGTTGGCTGCGGACATACCTCAGGTACTCTAGGGGCCTGAGTAGTTAGGGTTTTTGGGGGGTTCTTATTGGTATAGTTATAAAGGGACCCTAAGGGAATACCATGAGTAACTATTCCGACCCCAGTCTTCTCAGAAGTGTGAGGGTTTTGGCCAGCTCCTTGTGCTCTTTTTTCCAAACCCAGAAGCCCTGCTTCGCGTCGCCTCAATTTCCCTTGAAGAAAGAAGCCCTGAAAACCTAGGCCCTAAACACACGTCCAAAACCTCCACACCTAACTCCTAAACCCTCAACCGCTGAACCTAAGCTCCTAACCATAAATCCCCAACCTCCTAAACGCCAGCCAATCCGTAAACCTCTAAAAAACTCCTCCTAAACCTCTAAGCATTAAACTCGAGACCGACACTCCACAACCCTAACACCCCAACCTCCAAACCCTAAACTCTACACCTCTGAACGCTTCGAAACCTAGAGCTCCGAAAACCCTAGACCCTAAGCCCAATCAGCCCGAACACCCCAAACCCCAAACCCCAAACCCTAAACCCTAAACCCTAAACCAGCCTAAACCCCAAACCGTAAACCCCTGAAGAACGCTGGGCAAAGGGCAGCCCCGAGACCCAAAACCCCAAGAACCCGGAGTGTGGGGCGGGGGGGGGGGGGGGGGGGGGGGGGGGGGGGGGGGGGGGAGGGGAAGCCTCATCCTCATCCAGAGGGTCTTTGAGCCCCCCCAAAAAAAGATTGACAATAACAACAGTAATGATAACAATGATCACAAGAAGAAGAACAAGAATAAATAGCAATAATAAGAATACGGGTGTATGGATTTAGGGTTTTAGGGGATCTAGGGATTTAGGGATGTACGGGTTTAGGGATTTAGGGACGTAGGGGCGGCCTCCCAGCCCGCCACCCACGACAATGGCTTGGTTGGTCGGAAATGAGCACGCCATGGCGAAAGCAAAGTCCTGCCAGGGCTTCAGGCACAGGGGTTTAGGGGTTTAGGGGTTTAGAGGTTTAGGGGTTTAGGGGTTTAGGGGTTTAGGGGTTTAGGGGTTTAGGGGTTTAGGGGTTTAGGGGTTTAGGGGTTAGGGGTTAGGGGTTTGCGAACCCCTGCCCTATGCGAGCTCCGAACTACCACCGCCCCACCTACGATAGGGCCCAAGCTCTTAAAATCAGGCTTACGACCCTAAACCCTAAACCCTACTTAACCCTAAAAATCCCTAATTAACCCTATACACCCTTAATTAACCTTTTTTCCTAAACCCTAAACCCTCTGACTCAGGGATGCGTGGGCCCTACTTCGGTCAGCACCTGGAGTTTAACAATGAGAGCTTTGGATAAGAAAGGTTCAGGCTTTCCTTAGATGTCTAAACCTTAAACCCATAACCCCCGGGCGTTGATTTTTGGGTCTGTCCTTCCTACCTATGATGTACCCCATATATATATATATATACATATATATATATATATATACATACATATATATATATATATACATATGTGAACAGTATATATATATATACACACATACATACATACGTACATACATACCAAGCCCCATACTAAGGGGCCATACTTGTGACCTTGGATTTAGGGTTCAGGGTTCGTGGGGTCCCCGTTGCAACACGGCCCCTTCTAGCCTAAAGGCGGGTTTAGGGTTTCGGGTTTAGGGTTTCGGGTTTAGGGTTTAGGCCATCCCCGAGAAGGAGTCGGCTTATGTTGTATATTGACGAAGCAAGCGTGGCCACATGGAAGAGTTTGTCGACACGCCGCCCCATTGGGTTTAGGGTTTAGGGTTTAGGGTTTAGGGTTTAGGGTTTAGGGTTTAGGGTTTAGGGTTTAGGGTTTAGGGTTTAGGGTTTAGGGTTTAGGGTTTAGGGTTTAGGGTTTAGGGTTTGAGGGTTAGGGTTTACGGTTGAGGGTTTAGCCCGAAACCAAAAACTAGTGCTGTCTCGGCGCAGGGGTTGGGGCTCTAGTTTGAGTGTTTGGTTTTTGGGGGTTCAGGGTGTTAGAGTTTAGGTTTCCTGTTTAGGGTTTTCGGGTTTAGGGTCTTCGGGTTCACGGCTTTAGGCTTAGGGAGACCCGTCCAAAAGCCCAAACACCGTAAACCCGAAGCCCCCCAAGCCTCAATCTGCTCTTGACCCCACAGAGGCCCTTGGCCTCCGATTTGCTTAGGATCTGGCGTCTATAGGTCTTGTGGATTATCGGGTTTACGGTGTACAGTAGAGGGTTCGGGGTTTGTTTTGGAAAGCTGCGTCCTGAAACCCCGAAACTCCTAACCCTCAACCCCAAACCCTGAAACCCCCAAACCCTAGACCCTGCACGAAATCTTCAAATTCTTGTAGACCCACAGCCTTAGCCTGTAACTTTACACAACCCCCGAAGCCCCCAAATGATTAGAGCTTGGAGTTCCCAGCTGGCACCTCAGGGGGCCCGGCCGCAAAGACGCTTCAAAATCCCAAAACTGCACTGTTCAGAGCCTAAAGGTGGCCCTGCGGCGCGGGGCGCGGTGTCTGCAGGTTTTTTGGGGGTTTAGGGTTTAGGGTTTAGGGTTTAGGGTTCAGGGTTCAGGGTTCAGGGTTAGGGTTTCGGGTTTTGGGGGGGGGGGGGGGGGGGGGGGGGGGGCCGGGCATTTAGACGAGAAGGTTCAGGGAGGGCTAAGGGGGGCTGTGAGAGTTTAATTTAAGGGTTTGGGTGGCTTTGGGGGGTTTTGGGGTTTAGGAGGTTTAGGGGGGTTTCCAGGGTTTAGGGGTTAGGGCTTAGGGTTTGAGGGCTGCGGGGTTTAGGGGTTTAGGGTGTAGGGGTTTTGGGGGGTTTTAGGGGTGTCTGCATCTGCAGGCTTTCGGATGGGATCCGAGGGTGCAGAGCGTTATCGGCTTTGTGCTTTACAGGGGTTTAGGCTCAGGGTTCTAGGGTTTTGGGGAAGGTTTAGGGTTTAGGATTAGGGTTTGTGGTTTAGGGTTTCCGGGTAATCAGGGCTTCGGGTGGCGTAAAAGCACGAAACCCTGAGTGCTCAAACCTCAAGCCTGAATACAGGGCTTGCGGGGTGAGAGTTGGGGCATGGAGACGTCGGCTTGTAAGCAGGACCCATGGTTCGGATCCTGGGGCTTGGGGCTTAGGGTTTTGGGTGTGGGCGCTAAGGGTTTCGGATGTTCTTTCGGTCATAGGGGTCCCCAAACTACCCCCCAAAATTTGTCGGGGCACTTTAGGTCTTCTACTCTTGGCGAAGGTTGGGGGAGCCTATGATTTCCCAAAATACTCGGACTAAGAGGTTCCACGTATTGAAAAAGAGCACCCTAAACCCTACCCTAAACCCTAAACCCTAAACCCTAAACCCACTTGCAACAGCGGCCTTTGCTGGCACCGGCATGGGCGACTCCAGAGCTAGGGTTGTGTGGCTCACGACGTGTGATTAAACAAGGTTCCTCCATCCTGAAGGCGGGTTTAGGGTTTAGGGTTTAGGGTTTAGGGTTTAGGGTTTAGGGTTTAGGGTTTAGGGTTTAGGGTTTAGGGTTCAGGGTTTAGGGTTTATACATTCACTACTAGAATACCCCAAACTCTATACTATGACTCCTGAACTGCGGAGAGGAACGAAGTGGATCACCAGGCGCTCATGGCGTCGCTGGCTCTGTGCTCAAACTTCCTGAGGACCTGGGTGGCAGGCTCTGGGCTGGGGTGGTTTAGGGTTTAGGGTTTAGGGTTTAGGGTTTAGGGTTTAGGATTTAGGGTTTAGGGTTTAGGGTTTAGGGTTTAGGGTTTAGGGTTTAGGGTTTAGGAGACCCCCAAGCCCCCCAAATAGTAGGGTCCCCTTATAACAAGGGCACAAGTAAGTTATGCTTGAAATTGTAAACCCCCAACTGAAGCAGGGAACCCTCACAAGGGGGGGGGGGGCCTTGGGGATGATAGAGGAGCTACTTTGGGACCAATTTGGGTGGGGAACAGTTTGAGCTGAGGTTCTGCCCTTCCCCCCCCCCCCCAAACAAAAAAAAAAAAAAAAAAAACCTACGCTACGGATATTGGTAGGTGCCTGAAGCCCCTGAAAACCTAAACCGTGAACCCTAAACCTTAAACCTTAAACACCCAAAAACAGCGTTCCAAAAGGCAGGTGTCCCGACCCAGGGCGGCCTCGTAGATAGGCCGCTGAGCGTTGCGAACTATATGGCTTAAGCTTTCAGGGTGTAAGGTTGGGATGTTCACCCTGATACTAACAGTCCCTAATAGGAATCATACTGGGGGTACGATAATCCCTATTAAGCACTATTAGTACAAGCGAGAACATCTCAAGTTTAGGGCACAGCTTGGGGCAGAGCTTGGCCACAATTTTTACGTTTGATCGCTGTCTCCTTCAGGGCGTCTCAAAGTATGGCAGTGCCAGGAGAGCTTCGGGACGCCCCAACCTTTCCTAGACCCAAGAGGAGCCCAGGAATGAAACGCGTGCCCTTAAAGGGGCACCCTAAACCCTCAAAAAAAGGAATAAGGGCCTATTCTGGAGTGAAGAGGGTGCCCTTTTTGCTTAAACGGGAACCCTAAACCCTAAAACAAAAGGAATCAGGGCCTACCCTGGGTCCTAGCTTCTGAAATGCCGACTTGGGGGCATCGTGACGAGATGGCAATACAGCGGGAAGCTGATGTAAATCAGGGAGATGAAGAGGGTGAAGATGTACCCCATGTGCACAGCTCGGCTGTGGTACCTTAGTTTAGCTTAGGGTTTAGGGTTTAGGGTTTAGGGTTGGGTGTAGGGTTTAGGGTTTAGGGTTTAGGGTTTAGGGTTTAGGGTTTAGGGTTTAGGGTTTAGGGTTTAGGGTTTAGGGTTTAGGGTTTAGGGTTTAGGGTTTAGGGTTTAGGGTTTAGGGTTTAGGGTTTAGGGTTTAGGGTTTAGGGTTTAGGGTTTAGGGTTTAGGGTTTAGGGTTTAGGGTTTAGGGTTTAGGGTTTAGGGTTTAGGGTTTAGGGTTTAGGGTCCGCCGACCCTGGCGGCGTGTTGGATGGGTTTGAGGAGGTGAAAACCTCCCTCTTTCCCTCCTTACCCCCCAAAACGCGGGGGGGGGTAGGGGGGGTCGGTGCACAATTTTTTCGTGGAGGACCGCGCCACCCGCACAGCGTAAACAGGCGGTTCAGCACAGGGGGGTAGGGGCGCCCTCAGCAAAATCAGTTTTTGGCCCCCACCCCCCCCCCCCCCCCCCCCCCCCCCCCCCCCCCCCCCCCCCCCCCCCCCCTACCCCCCCTAGGCTGCCCTCCTTCAAGCTGGCTTCAGCTCCTGTTTGGGTCCTGGTGCTACCCCCTACCCCCCCCCCCAACGTTTCACAGAGGCTCAAGCAAATCAACTTTTGGCATCCTTTGAGCTGACGAGCGCGTTTAAACCTTTCAACTATGCTCCAGCGGGGTCGGCGGCTTGAGCCGGAGGCTCTTAAATTTAGGGTTTAGGGTTTAGGGTTTAGGGTTTAGGGTTTAGGGTTTAGGGTTTAGGGTTTAGGGTTTGGGGTTAGGGTTTAGGGTTTAGGGTTTAGGGTGAATAGTTCAAGGTTTGGGGGTTTACGGTTTAGGGTTTGGGGGCGTGATAATGTGTTGTGGGCCTTTTGTGTTTTCCAACATGGGCACGACCAGGGACCTTCGTTTAGAACCCATATGACTCTTGCCACACCAGGCACGTATTTGAGATGTGTCAGCTTTCTTCTACCACTGGCTGTCCGATTCTTCATGATGTACCAATCCCCGGCACCGCAACAGGTAGGATCATTTTCCGCCCGCAGCAAGAAAAACCGAAAACCCTAACTTCGCACCGCCGCTGGTGGGACATGGGCCTTTAGAGGGTTGAGGGGTTTGTAGAGTTTTCCGGGTTTTGGGGCTGAGCAACCTCTAAACCTACAGCCCTTCGGGCTTCCCCTCCCTTAACCCCTAGACCCCAAAGCCCGGAACCCCGAAAGCCCGAAAGCCCTGAAAGCCCTAAGACCTCGGGTGCGGGGTGCCAGGGGAGGTCCACTTCGAAGCCCCAAGCCCGAAGCCCGAAAACCTGGAACCCGGAAAGTTGGCTGCACTCAGAAGGGTCGCGGAAAAAATATTTTTTAAGCTGCCTTATTAAGAAACCCAATAAACCCAAAAAGGCTAAGGATCTAAAGTTTAGGGTTTCGGGTTTAGGGTTTAGGGTTAGGGTTTAGGGTTTAGGGTTTAGGGTTTAGGGTTTAGGGTTTAGGGTTTAGGGTTTAGGGTTTAGGGTTTAGGGTTTAGGGTTTAGGGTTTAGGGTTTAGGGTTTAGGGTTTAGGGTTTAGTGTTGAGGGTTTAGGGTTTAGGGTTTAGGGTGTAGGGTTTAGGGTTTAGGGTTTAGGGTTTAGGGTTTAGGGTTTAGGGTTTAGGGTTTAGGGTTTAGGGTTTAGGGTTTAGGGTTTAGGGTTTAGGGTTTAGGGTTTAGGGTTAAGGATCTAAAGGTTACAGTGAAGCACCACAAAGGACGGTGCCAAGTCACTTCTTGGGGATCTCTAGGTGTGGCGCTGGCACAGCCTTCTGCCAGCCCAAGCACCTGGGAGAGCCCGGATCGGGTTTAGGGTTTAGGGTTTAGGGTATAGGGTATAGGGTTTAGGGTTTAGGGTTTAGGGTTTAGGGTTTGGGGTTTAGGGTTTAGGGTTTAGAGTTTAGGCCTTGGGGGCTTCTTGGGGTTTCGAGCCTGTCGGGTTTTATAGGGCTTGCAGGGCTTGTCGGGTTTGTTTAGGGTGTGTAGGGCTTAGGAAGTAGAAGTTTTTAAAACTAGGGTTTCTGGTTTTTGTTGTTGGCGACGGGGAGGCTTCTTGAGGGTTCCGGGCTTGGGCGTTTCGGGTTTAGGGTTTAGGGTTCAGGGTTTGGCTTTAGGGTTTAGGGTTTAGGAACCCTAAATCCAAACAATGAACTCCTGGGTTTTGGTCTTTCGGGATTGTTGACAGGGCTTGCGAGGAGCTTGTAGTCAGGGGCCGCCAGGGTCTTGAGGCTTGACGGCCAACACCCCCAAAGCCTAAGTTGCAACTTCGGGAATAGGGTTTAGGGGGGTTTAGGGTTTAGGGTTTAGTCTCCGTCCAGGCACATGTGTGTGCTGAAGATGATCACCGCCGACATGTAGAAGAGGACCCAGCCAAGGGACCTAACCACCAAACCCCGAAGCCTGAACCCCAAAAACCTAAAACCTTAAACACCAAACAAAGCCTAAGTTGTGGGGTCCTTTAGGGAGGGGGTACGTCACCCAAGGATCCCTAATACTCCCCACTACGCTCCCTACGCTCCCCTACCCCCCACAAACCTCCCAACCCTAAACCCTAAACCCTAAACCCCAAACCCTAAACCCTAAACCCTAAACCCTAAACCCTAAACCCTAAACCCTAAACCCTAAACCCTAAACCCTAAACCCTAAACCCTAAACCCTAAACCCTAAACCCTAAACCCTACCCTGGAACTGAACCCTGCGCCCAAGAAACCTCCATCTTCCTGAGGCTTCGTTAGTCCCCCCAAAATCAGGCTCAGGGCGCACACCAATGCCTAGATACAACCCCGTCCAACATCGTTGCTGCTATGTATATATCTGTGATATGTGTATATATATATAGAGTGACCATATATATATATATATATACATCCATAGAAGATTCTGGGGTAACCTGCACAAAACATGGCCCTTAACTACCCTGAACGCGACGCAAAACAAGGTTGGGGCGCTGAGCTTAGAGTTTGGGACCCTAAACCCTAAACGCTATACCCTAGGCCCTAAACCCTAAACCCTAAACCCTGAACCCTGAACCCTGAACCCTAAACCCTAAACCCTAAACCCTAAACCCTAAACCCTAAACCCTAAACCCTAACCCTGAACCCTGAAACCTAAGGACTTCGCGCCCAGGGTCAAGCCAACTGTCTGCTTCATTCTCGGGGATTGGTTGCATATATTCTTCTCGCCCTCAACCAATAAATCCAACTCCCTCAGCCCAAAGCCCTTAACCTCCGGAAGCACTGTGTCACATATATATATATATATATATATATATGATTATTCATTTTTTGTATTATATATATATATATATATCTTTATTTATATTTCTTTATCTATATTAATATTTAGTTATGTATTTATATTTGTATTCATATTTATATTTGCTATTTATACTTATTCATTTATATCTGTATACTTATATATTTATATATATAGTAATTTGCACATAGATGTAAACGTTTTCACATCTAATTCAATACAGTAGAAGAAGAAGAATAGAATAGCATACAGAATAGTACGTCCCAAAGGGCTGGAAGATCTCGAACTCCATGCGGTAGATGTCACGCACGTACACGGACTCGCAGCCCGGGGTGTCCACCCAGAAGAGGTTCCTTGAAATGCTGGGTTTGGGGTTTGGGGTTTGGGGTTTGGGGTTTGGGGTTTGGGGTTTGGGGTTTAGGGTTTAGGGTTTAGGGTTTAGGGTTTAGGGTTTAGGGTTTAGGGTTTAGAGAGCCCTTGCAGACCCGGACCAACGAGTCGCCCCTAAACCCATTCCCCCCCCCCCCCCCTCTCCAACCACCCATAAAACCCGAAACCCTAAACCCTAAACCCGAAACCTGAAACCCTAAACCCTAAACCCGAAACCCTAAACCCTTAATCCGAGAAATTGTGGCACCGGCGTTCGGCTGGTGGCTCCGGTGCATCCGAGGGGCAACCTGAGGTGGAGCCTCAGAGTTGTTCTGGGGTTTAGGGTTTAGAGTTTGGGGTTTGGGGGTTTGGGGTTTGGGGTTTGGGGTTTGGGGTTTGGGGTTTAGGGTCTAGGGTTTAGGGTTTAGGGTTTAGGGTTAGGGCTGGGGTTTAGGGGTTTAGGGTTTAGGGCTTAGGGTTTAGGGCTTAGGGCTTAGGAAGCAGGTGATAGGGGGTTAGGGCTTCGGGTTTGAATGGAATTTTGGGGGTTTCCCGGTGCTGAGGGTCCTAGAACAGCTCTGGGGCTCCGGCTCGAAAGGTTTAGGGATACGATTGTGGGTTTGGGGTTGGGGGGGCGAAATTCTAAGACATTGGGACCCAGATTGGAGCTAAGCGTTTAGAGCTAAGGATTAGGTTGTTGGGGTTAGGACCTTTTGTGGCTTCTAAGGGCTTAAGAGTTCTGCAGAAAGCGATGCAGCCACCGAACCCCCTGAACCCTACACCTAAAACCCCCAAACCCCAAGCTCTTAAACCACCAAACGGCCCAAAACCCTAAACCCCAAACCCCAAACCCTAAACCTCAAACCCTAAACCCCAAACCCTAAACCCCAAACCCTAAACCCTAAACCTTGCACCTCTGTCAGACCAAAGGGCAGGGTCTCGAGATTCAGCAGGTACGGCGGAGGGCAGAGCTTCCAAGGCTTGGTGTCGCCGAACCTTAGGGGGGTTTAGGGTTTGGGGTTTGGGGTTTAGGGTTTAGGGTTTAGGGTCTGGGGTTCTGGGTTTAGGGTAAACCTGAACCCTACGACAGAAGTTGGAGGCTTTAAAGAAACCAGCCCCGACCTCGACCCTGCAAATTGTACCGTTGCTGCTCGTGTGATTCTGCTCCATTCAGTTCTACTCTACGGTATTGCGAACGTACCTGTTGTGGTTCAACCACCCTAACCACCCTAACCCCTCCTAAACCCTAAACCCTAAACCCTAACACCCTAAAACCCTAAACCGGGGTTTAGGGGTTTAGGGGCTTAGGGGTTTAGGGTTTAGGATTTGGGGCGCTTAGTGGGCTGTTTAGGGCTTAGGGTTCAGCATCTCAAGTCAAAGTATCCGCCCCCTAAACCCCGAACCCTAAACCCTAAACTCTAAACCCTAAACCTCATCCTCGTGCTGACCCCCTATCCCAGACCCTACATGCCCAGAGAGGCCTCGGAAACCCCTAACGCAAGCCTCCACTGCAGCCCTCAAAAGAGCTTCCTAAAGGGGGAATTTGAAAAGAACGCCCGGGGCAGAAAATGATGTTTCCAACACCGGCTGGAAAACCTGCAATATTTCCGTATTCGGCTCGGAAAAACTATCCTGCTTCCGAACGAATTCGGAACGGCGCAGCTTTCTGAGCGAAAAAGGGGCCCTGCTTCCGAAGTCGGTTCCGAGAAAGTACCCTGTTTCCGACTTAGTTCGCAAACAGTGCAGTTTTTCGAGCGGAACCGGAAGCATGCCTGAAAAGCCACCTGCTTTCTAAAAAGGGCTGCCCTGTTGTCAGACTGAAATAGCTATATATGGTCTCGGGCTCCCGCCTACCCCCCCTGGTATCAACCCCCCAAAGATATCCCCTCCCCCCCATGCAACCTGCCCCTGCACCATGGTCCATCTTAGGGTTTAGGGTTTAGGGTTTAGGGGTTTAGGGGTTTAGGGGTTTAGGGTTTAGGGTTTAGGGTTTAGGGTTTAGGGGTTTAGGGCTTAGGGTTTAGGGTTGGGTTCAACAGATCATCCGAGTGGCCGGAACTGGTAGAGGTGGATCATCATGAAGGTCAGCAGGCTGATGCCCGAGAGAGCCTCGGCAGCCCAGCAACCATACGCTTTCATGAGCGGTACTCTGCTCGGGGTTGGAAACGGGAAATCCCAGAACCACCACCCCCAACCCTAAACCCTAAACCCTAAACCCTAAACCCTAAACCCTAAACCCTAAACCCCTAAACCCTAAACTCTCAAAAAAACAAAAAACAAAACGAAAGGGCGCCACTGGGCTTCTCTGAGGAGCCAGGTTCATCTTCCCTGTGTTCAAGTTGTAGTTGAGGCTGATGTCCCAGGTCCTCTTCCTCTGGCTTGAGAGGGGTTTAGGAAGCTTAGGGGCTTCGGGGGCTGAGGGACTAGTGTACACCCTAAACCGTAAACCCTAAACCGTAAACCCTAGGCAGTTCTTTGCTTACCTCGTTTGAAGGGTTTCTTGCTGCATGAACCTATGACAGTGGGTTTAGGGTTTAAGGTTTCGGGATTGGAGTTTAGAGTTTAGGGTTCAAGGAGCACAATGTAATGCTTACGGCTTAGGGCTGCAAAAGGCTATCCCCTTCCAAACCCCTTTGATAAGGAGCATGTTCAAACGAGCCCCAAGTAAATCAGCCTACCTAAACCCCAAGCCCTAATCCCTAAACCCTGAACCCTAAACTACCCCAAACCCCAACCCTAAACTCCAAACCTTAAACTAAAGCAGGACCCGATCGTGTATGCGAGGTGCAATCAGCCAGGCAACTCTTCGGATTTAGGGTTTGGGATTTAGGGTTCCGGGCTTAGGGTTTAGGAGAGCTACAAACCCCAAGCCCTACAGCCCAAGGAGTCTCAACAAAAACAACCCTGAGACGAAACCCTCTGTGCGAGAAAAAGAACCGGCAGCCCCAAGACGCTACTTAAAAGTGTACATATATTCTTCGATTATTATCTCTCTCGTGTTTTTTTGGGGGCAGGGGGGGGTTTTGAGCAAACAGTAGTAAGACAAGGCACAGGGCCACCACGATGTGCAGCAACGCCGCAAGCAGGATGTACTCCTCCACGATGTTGGCCTCTTCTGGTGTGTGCAGTCCGCGTTAAGGGTTGGTTTAGGATGTAGGGTTTCGGGTGCATGCCTCAAGAAGGAAGGGTATCTTGGGACGTTTAGAGTGGAAGCACATGGGGGTTAAAAGGGAGATCGATGTATTCTAAGGCTCCTGCGTGAAGGTTGCTATCATTCTGAAGGCTTTCTGGCACAGGGTAGCGTGAGAAGCCTGTGATTGTAGGGTCCAGGGCCGTACAGTCCCAGAACCAAAGCACCAAATTGCAAGAGGCCGCCAAGCACAGATAGGCCTTATATAGGCTTTGCAAGGCTGTAGGGTCGGCGTACTGGGACTCCGTAAACCCTAAATCCTACTAAACCCTAAGCCTAAACCCTAAACCCTAAACCCTAAACCCCAAACCCTAAACCCTAAACCCTAAACCCTAAACCCCGGCCTGGAACCCGAAGCCGGTCCAGTAAAGCCGCACGTAGAAGTAGCCGTAGCCATTGAAGTCATCCGGGCCTTGGGTCCAGGGTTTGGGGTTTAGGGTTCAGGGTTTAGGGTTCAGGGTTCCAGGGTTTAGGGTATAAATTAGGGTTTAGGGTTTAGGGTTTAAGGTTCAGGATTTAGGGTTTAGGCTTTAGGGTTCCAGGGTTTAGGGGGTGTAGGGGTTTAGGGTTT